ACCTTTGACCTCCCCTCAGACCTTTGACCTCCCCTCAGACCTTTGACCTCCCCTCAGACCTTTGACCTCCCCTCAGACCTTTGACTTCCCCTCAGACCTTTGACCTCCCCTAATTCCAACACTGAGTGTTTTTAGGTACCTTGTTGTGGTTTTTCCTTCCATTTGAATACAATATTGCCTTCAGCATTAGAGGGAGGAACTGAACGAAATGAAAGAGAAGAAAATTATAAACAAAACCTGTCCTTAATTAGTGCTTATATCTTTCCTTCTTGGATGTTATTGAAATGACATCTCATATTTGATGATGCCTTTGAAAAGTTAGAATGACCAGCAGTGATTTTATATACTAGGCAAAATACATCCCTTCCCTTCCGTCTTAGTGGCTATAAGGTCACGTGCAACACAAGAAAAGATTATTATGTACAGGTACAATCATGTAGTTCCAGAATATACCTCCACCTCCACCCTGGAGATAATTCGTAAAAGGACTCCCTACCCCCAGAAACTTCCAATTTTCTTCCAAACACTGTAATTTTGTTCTTTCTCTGACCCCCCTCCCCTCCAGAATTTCCAATTTCTTTTGTGAGTTGGGTTTGGATATTTTCTGGAACGTTCTGCACATTATGTACCTAAATCTCTGAGATGGTACACAGCAAACTCTTGGTATTTTCCATCTATTACTTGTTTCTTGATTTTATCTGTAGGTGAAGGCTTCAGAACAAATTTAGACCCAGTCTAGAAAAAAAATGTTACAATTAAATTAATTAAGGTCTGAAAAATTTTGGATCAAAAGAATTTTAAAACAAATTAACATTGGATAAAACAGAGCATAAGATATTCAGCAATGAGTCCTTAACCTTTGTTATCTGGTGAGGATTCAAACATTAGGCTGAGGCAGATAAAATTGTGGTTGAGTTCTTGATAAATTGACAAAATCACGCAAGGTAAAATGCAAGAACAACATTTCAGATCCTGGTTGAAATACCATCATGCAAAAACTTAATTTTCACTTGATAGATTTGATAAAGAAAAGACAAGACAAAGCACAAGAATGATAGGAATGTGCACTCACATTATTGCTAGTGATATCCACAAAAACTCTGCTAGATGAAGACAGTGGACATTGGGATTTGATAACACGGCCAAATAACTTCCTCAAGGACCAATCTGGGTTTAAATATAGCATGCAAGAGATATTTACTTGTCTTTATTAATTTTAATGTCAAACTGGAGACTTTTCATTGCTTGATTCTTGTGAAATTAAATCCTCGCATATTATAGAAGCTAGAAAAGCTAGTTTAACTAAACAAATTTTGCCACGAATGGAGTAAAAGTGTCTTATAACTGAGGAGAATATAGAAAGTGCTGCCATTGTAATAATTACTGTACATCTAAAAAAGGTAACATTTCAGGTGACTGGGATGACTATTTTCAATTATAGAAGTCCCATCTCACTTATTAATCATCACTAACCATTAACTGGAGCTAGGGATGTAGAAGAATAAAACAAGAAGAACCATTAAACCCTGGCAGTGACCATCATCATGCAAACACATTGCATTGACTAAAAGTTAAGAAACATTGTGGAAAAACACTTACCATAATGCTTGCTACGCAGCAATGGGTCAAACACGATAGAAATAGTTTGTTTCAACTCCAAGGTATAGCTTTGACAAGATGAATCCTGAAATGATTTTGTATTGTTTTATTGATGTAATGTAAACTTAAAAAAGTATAGAAATGCTTATCAAATGGATTTTTCTTGTACCTTACATACTGGTCGCAGATGAATACCCATAGAGTGATAGTTGACTGAATACATTAAAAGTCCATTGAAAAGTGTGGATATACCAGCCTAGAAATACACAGTATGTGTTAGATATTGTTCACATAGGTGTAACAGAGATTCCAGCATGGACAGGAGGGTGTGAGAGGATAGATAAAAAAATTATTGGAAAGTGTGGATATTATACCAGCCTAGAAATACACTGTATATGTTAGTTATCATGGTATTCTTCACCCTACATGTATGTGTTACAGAGACTCCAGCATGGACGGGAAGGGGTGAGAGGGTATATTATAAGACTTGTATTGGAAAGTGTGGATGTTATATCAGTCTAAAGTACCAATGTATGTTAGTCATGCTATTCTTCACCCATAATTTATGTAACAGAAGTCCAAGAGTGGAGAGGAGATGGTGGGAGGGTACATTGAAAGGGTGGAAATTTCAGCTTAGAAAAAGAATGCATGTACTGTACAATACGCAATGGTATAATTTCTTCATCCTACTTACAGTTTGGGAGGTGGGGGGGGGGGGGGGGAAAGTTTAAAAAAAATATTAATGGAGTGTTTCTCCTGGTTTCGCCGGTAAATTAGTAAAACATTTTGAATACCAAAAAAAAAAGCAAACAGACAGACAGACAGACAGACAGACAGACAGACAGACAAAAAGACAGAGACATACAGACAATTCTAATTCAACCATTACCAATTATCATAGTTTCTGGATATATACAATACCTTTGAATCACATGGTAGAAGCTTTTTCCATGGAGTCAGGTTCTCTGTACACACAATCTCTCTTCCAAGAGTAGAATATCTCAATAAAGAAGAGTTATTGCTCCCTGAAGAAGCCACACCCTCTCTCCTGAATGACATTCTAGGAGAGGTTGACGTCTTGCTGTCAATAAAGTTGAGAGAGGCACAAAACTGTCCTGCTAGAGCTTGAGTCAGACCAGACCAATTTTCATCAACCCTATTAGAGTTAATTGAATGGATACAATGACATTAAACCATAAATACATGTATGTACATGACTTTATAGTACCTGCTTGTGAAGCACAGGTGATGTGCACTGCTAATGCAACACCTCTTATGTGGGTTCAGTCCCTGGACTCATATTTGAGTAGAGTAGCTTACTAGCATATTGCTTCTCCACTATGCTTTGACGTTTTTTTAATTCTTCTGATTAATTTTCTTCCTCTGCCAAATCAACTTCTAAATTGCAATCTAATCATGGCATGGAGGCCCTAGGTTTGTTATCCACTGGCTATAGGCTATGCTCAAGTTCCAAATTACCACTGTGTTCCTTGATTACAGAGTCATYTACTCAGGGTTAGCCTCGAATCAGTGTCTAAATATTCACAAATACCAACAGAAAAGTGAAGAATGCACAACCTCAACAATACAAACTCTTGGACTTTCCACAGACATCACTGGAACACATGAATATTCTACACAAAATCAAGGCTTACCCTGAGCAACAGAGAACTGGAAACTGGAGTACAGTTAACTCTCCTTACAGCAGACAGCCTCAGGACTGTCATTTCATGTCCGTAATATCGAGCATCCACAATAGCAAGAATACGGTCATTTCTTTGTCAATATTTTTGCCAGGGATTTTTCTCTAATAGCGAGTTGTCCATAATATCGGGCGTCCATGAGAGTTGACTGCATTAAGTGTTGTTCTTGTAAAACAAGGACAATTTTTGTATTTGTAAGAAATATATTGTAAGAAAATTAAAGCAATAGTGGTATGACTCAGTCATACATTGCTAATCAACAGCGATTGCCTTAGCTTGCACCTAGGGAGGAGCTGCACTGAGACTACATGCAGATTATGGTCTCTCAGGTCTCTCATCAAAAGAAAAAACAATGTATGCAAGTAGTGCTATGATTGTTTGTACCAAAACCAAACAAGAAGCCATCATACTCTCTTCTATACATCTAGTGATATGAAGCGATTACAATTAGATTTATCATAGACAACCTACCTGTCTTTGACTCGATTCTGGAACCACACCCATAGCTCTGCCCCTGGTGGAGCTGACGTAACAGGGTAGCCCCACAAATCATTTTTCCAGTGCCCTTGAGTCAAACTAAGATGCAGTTCCTCTACAGAATATTTGTCTACTATTTGACCAAATGATCTTGGGAACAGGTTGAAATGGGAAACTAAAAACAGTTCAACATGAATAGTATTAGAAAAATAATGTATGTGGCATATAATCTAAAGTGGATATAGACTCCTTGCAGAACGTTAGAATGCAGATCAATTCGGAGGACATAACAACAGGTTTCCAATTCTCAGTAGATTTAATAAAATCATTTTGCTTTGTCCTCCAAATTGAGCTTCTTTGACATCACATGCAAGGGTTCTATTGCTTTGTAGAGTGTAAAAACGATATCCAAGAAATATTACTATACAACAAACACTATTTACTACTTAATAATAATACTGATGAAACGATGGAAAACAAAAGGGATTGTAAATATGTTTTTCCTTTTCGTGCCGAAAATAAGTTTAGAACTGTTTCACGAATTAAGTATTAGCGCTAGCGCTCTATCAATCAGCTGAATGATAATCATAAATCCCTTAACATAGGTGTTAACTACGTATAAAACATGTTAAAAAGGTTTTAAGATATTGTATGTGAGCAAAATGCAAGTAAGAAGATCAGTGACCGGTTAACGTGCATGCATTGACAAGCAGACTAGCTGCACACTTACATGCTTCGTGGTCCTTGATATCCACGTCCCATAACGTTGTGAACTGAAAGTAYGTATAAACATGACCTGTTGGTAAAGGTTTAATCAGAAGTTCTTCGTGAAATTCATCTTTAGAGGCAAAAGAAAAAGAAGAAAAGTAAAAAAAGACAAGAATTGTGATCCAAAAGGCCGCCATCTTGAATGCCCGGTAAGAGGGACTAAAAACTAGTAACTAGGCCTTGCCGGTCGTTTGCCGGTTGCGGAGTACAGGGTCGGGTATCCCTCGGGATTCGGGATTAGGAAGAGATCCACACCAAATACATATTTTTGGCATTCAAATTTTAATGGGTCGAGTAAAAGAGTTGCTTATCCTAAGAATAGGCCTCTTCTGTAACGGACCAATCATAAAGCATGGAAACAAATACTTTTAAAAGTGACACTACAATACAATACAATACAATTTTATTTGGCACCTTATACTAATAGTACATG